AGGGGCTTCCATGTTGAAATGAAGCTTCCTAAAAAGTGAAATCCTACTCCTTGCACTTTCTTGATGAGAATAATTCTATCATTTGATCATTTCTATTGCTTCATATGCTAGAATACCGTTACAATGAATCTGATTCCTTAAATACTTAAAGACACCTGATGCCTGATGGATTATATACACGATAATTTTGTAATATGGAATATAAAGTATTGGATCATTAAATTTATACTACGTACATATTATTAACTTTGAAATTTCAAATTAAAGGTGATTATCAGTGAGAAAAGGTTGACTTTTTTAAAAAAGGTAAAAATTGTTGGGACCATTACAAAACAAACCTGGAACAAGTTGTATTACTTCGGATTTTTGATAGGAATTATTAATAAGTGGGCCTATTATTATAGATAATAATAAGCGGGCCTGTATTTTTAATAGAAGGGAGAGGGTTATGGGCTATAAATAGTTGGGTAAATAACTAATGAGGAGGCTGTGATTGAATTGGCATTTTGGCTTAGGAGAGTGGGCTTCTTGAACAGTCCCATCACTTGTATACGTACTGTGTTTCGCTCGTTATCAATAAACATCTTTGATCATTACTCTACATATTTCACATTGATCTGTTATTGTTTGCTGTTATATTACATGTGATCTATCATTGGTATCAGAGCCACATTTGCCGATCGCTACTTGTTGAGACATCGCCAGATTTGTCCAAAAGGGTCATTCGGATCGTGGATGGTTAGAACGAGAGGAAAAATGGAGCAACGTTTGGAAGCAGTGGAACGCAATCAAATCTCAATGGAGGAAACACTGCTGCGGATGGAGGCAATGATGCAGAACATGACCGGGAGAATGGATACGATGGGCGATGAATTCCGTCAGAGGGGGAGATCGCGATCTGTTCGCAGTCATCCATCGCGACCTTCGCACAGCCCGGCGGCCTCTAGAGGTAATTCCGCTCACTCGAATCCTTTTAATCATAGAAGGCATGAGGAGTATGCGAGATTTCCAGTGCACACAGGACGTAAGGTTGATCTACCATTGTTCAACGTTGATGGAGCTTATAACTGGCTAGTAAGGATGGAGAGGTACTTTAGATTGAATCACATTACTGAGGAGGACAAGCTGGAAGTTTCTGTAGTAGCCATGGAAGACCGAGCTCTGAATTGGTTCTAATGGTGGGAACATCAGACGGAGGAGAAGAACTGGGAATCACTTAAGGAATCAATTATTCGTAAGATTCCAACCTGACCTGCTACAGAACCCTTATGGACCTATGTTGAGCTTGAGGCAAACTGGGACAGTCAGAGATTACCGGGATAAATTTGAAATGATAATCGCTCCCCAGAAAAATGTTGACAGGGAAATATTAAGGGGAGTAATCCTCACTGTACTTAAGCCGGAAGTCAAAGCTGAAATGAAACTGTATAACCCCAGGTCTCTAGCTGAAGTGATGGATGTGGCCTTGTTGGTTGAGCAAAAGAATGAAGCAGTGATGGGAAATAGGCAGTCTAAGGAGGGACGGGGAGGAAGAGATAAACGACCAGTTTATTCTAAACCTCTCATGTGGGAAGAAGGTTACCGAGCAAAAGCTGGTAGTTCAGGGGTTCAAAATCCGAACAAAACTAACCAAACTTGGTTTAACTCAGCAGGGAATAAGGAGACTGAAATTCATTCTTCAGGGATAAAAAGGGTTGGACCTCAGCTATCACATGATGAATACCAAGAGAGAAGTAGGAAGGGGTTTGCTTTAAGTGTGGAGACAAGTGGAATAAAGAGCATACCTGCAAACTGAAGCATTATAAAATGATGCTTGTAGAAGATTCAAATGCTGAGGAGGAACCAGAAAGGATAGATCCTGAAATTACAGAAGAAGAAATTGTAATGGAGTCCAAATCCATGCACTTGTCACCCATGGGGTCCTACCATGAGTGCTTTCAAGATTAAAGGAATTCTGAAGTGGGATAAAGGGGTAAAACAAGTGGAAGTGCTGATTGATAGAGGGGCCACTCACAACTTCATTTCTAAAACCATTTCAGGATATAAAGTGCAGGTTGGTGATGGAGAAAAGCTATCTAATGATGGAAGATGTGAAGATTTGACTTTTTGACTTTGGAAGAAACTGACTTGGTATTGGGAATGTAGTGGCTGACTACTTTGGGTGATGTGGAAATAAACTTTCAGAAAAAAAGTATAAAATGGAAGATTCAGGGGTTAGATCAGCAGATTCAAGGGGACCCATATTTGAGCTCCATGGAGATATCACTGCAAACCATGGCTCATATTCTAGAGGACACGGGTGTTGGTTATTTTATGTTTGGTGAAGGACCATTTGTGAATGTAAAGAGTGGTGCTTGTGCTGGGAGTCAGGATAAAGCTCTAGGGTTTGACTACACTGAAATAATTCTGGGGACTTTGACAAAATCTGGGGTGCAGGAGGAGCCACAGTATATTGCAATTGAAGAGTCCTTGTTCACTCAATCTGATGCCAAATTGGGGATGACAGTAACAGAAAATGCAGTAAAATTGGGGAAGCAAACCTGAGAAACTGGTTTTGAAGCTTACAAACTATGGAAGTTTGACATTGAAGATAGGAATTCCTGCCCCATTTTGAAGATAACACTTGCTGAAATGTTTGAGACATCAAAAGAATTGGTATTGTAGTTCCTTGTCCAACTATCAATCAAGTACTGGGAAGGGAGAGGTGCAAGAATGAAGTGGAAAATCATGGCTCATTCCTATCACCCACCTTGAGGACAAGGTGGTTGTTTAGGGGGGAGTAGTCCTGGACTCAGGCCGGGTGGCCCGACCCGGAACCGGTCCGGGACCGATACTGTGCTGAACTGGCTCGGTGGCCCGGCCAATGACCGGTCCGGGTAGGCCCGGCCCGGCCCGGTCCGGTGGCCCGACCAATGACCGGTCCGGGTAGGCCCGGCCCGGGGGTTCCCGGTGCGGGCTCGGGTCACCCAAAAGCGGAACCGGCCCGGCCGGTTCGAGCCCGGTTCCGGGTTTTTTAATTTTTTTTTTCCAATTTTTTTTTTTAACTTTTCGGGTTGGCCTGGGTATTTTGGGCCATTTGGGGTGATTTGGGGGTGAGAGGTGTTAATTAGGAAATAAAACAATTGACCCGAGGCCCGGCCCGGCCCGGACCTGAATCGGATCCGGTGGCTACCCAGACCAGTCCCGGACCCACCTATTCAGAACCGGCAGCCCGGCCGGGCCTAGGCCCGGGCCGGCCGTGGGGGGAGTAATGATAGGAATTATTAGTAAGTGGGCCTATTATTATAGATAATAATAAGTGGGCCTGTATTTTTAATAGAATGGAGAGGGTTATGGGCTATAAATAGTTGAGTAAATAACTAATGAGGAGGTTGTGATTGAATTGGCATTTTGGCTTAGGAGAGTGGGCTTCTCCAACAGTCCCAGCACTTGTATACGTACTGTGTTCCGCTCATTATCAATAAACATCTTCGATCATTACTCTACATATTTCTCATTGATCTGTTATCGTTTGTTATTATATTACGTGTGATCTATCAATTTTCTACTTTCAATGACAATAAGCAATTTATCCATAGTATAATTTTCTTTATCAATACAATTGTAAATCTACAGGCGGGTACAAATGAAAACTAAAGCACCTACACAACTACTTTCGGAAACACACAAAACTGCCCTAGTATGCCATTTGCGGAAAAGAGTTTTTTCCACTTTTAGTCCTCCGACTATTATGCCATTGACACTTTTGGTACTCAACTTTGATTTTTTCCATTTTTAGTCCTTGTCTATTGCGCTAGAGACACTTTTGGTACACATCTTTGAAAATTTCCATATTTAGTCCTTCAACTTTCATAAAAGTGACAAATTTGGTCCTTCAATTGTTACAACAATGACATTTTTAGTCCTCCATTTATTGTGTCGAAATCATAGTGAGATGACTAAAAGTGTCAATTGGACAATACTCAGGGTCTAAACTCTAAATGTGAGAAATCTTAAAGTCGGGGACTAAAAGTGTCTAGCACAATAGTAAAGGACTAAAAATAGAAAAATTAGAAGTCGAGTACCAAAAGTGTCATTGACATAATAGTCGGGGGCCAAAAACGACAAAAATTCTACGGAAAAAGTGAAACTTAAACAAAAATGGATAATGGCAAGTTAACAATTATCTAAGAGGATGCAAGTCAAACTTTGATCACACTATGATGAAAAAGAATCATCCCTAAGGTGTCATCCCATAATAGGGATGGACTCGGGCCGGGCCAACCGGCCCGGAACCGGACCGGCCCGCTACTGTGCGGGCCCGGACCGGCCCGGTCAACCGGTTCGGTTCCGGTTCGGGCCTCCAGGCCCGGTGGTATACCGGTCCGGGCCCGGGCCTCCAGTTTAGTGAACCGGCCCGGCCGGGCCGGGCCCGGTTCGGGCCGGAATTTAATTTTTTTTTTTTTTTTTGAAATTTTTTTAAGTTTTGGGTTGGATTAGATATTTTGGGCCATTTGAGGTGGTTTGGGGTGGAGGGGGAGGGGTAGGGGGTTAAATAAGAGAAGAAGAAGAAAAAAAAAAAAAAACATTCCGGGTGGCCCGGCCCGGCCCGGCCCGGTTCTGGCCCGGAACCGGAACCGGAACCGCCCACCACCGGTTCGGGCCCGGGCCTCCTTTTTCTGAACCGAGGCCCGGCCGGGCCCAGGCCCGAACCGGGCCCGAACCGGAACCGGTCCACCCCTATCCCATAACTGGCATGACAATTATCTAAGGGGATGCAAGTTAACAATTATCTAAGAAGATGCAAGTTAACAATTATCTAAGAGGATGCAAGTTAAACTTTGATCACACTGATGGAAAGAGAGTGAGTTTCCATCCCAAATCATTGGTTGGACTTGAACCCGAACCTCTCTCTCGTAGCACTCCTTTCCTACCAAGTGAGTTACTCCCCCTGTGAGAAAATGAAACTAAAGCTTCATCATTGGGGATACTGTATAAAAGGAGGCCTCAATGGCTAGGCATATCAAATGGACAAAATTCTTTTAAAAAAAGAACTTGTACAACATGCCATAAATTCATAAACCCAGACATAAGACCCCAAAATTGATTTCTGATATGGTAATACTCTTAAAAAATAAGTGCTGTGCTCAAACTCTTAATAGAGTACGCATCAAGAAGAAAACCGCCTACTCTAGATCCAGGAAGACAAATAATATTAGGCTTGAATGTTACTTATAGCACCAGAGACGTTCTGAACGAGGGAAGTATATGCATAAGATACAGTGTTGTTACAAGACCATTGCAGTAGTTTCATCTTCCTCAGCATTTCCCATTGGCACCTCACTGAACATGAATTGGCTTTGATATTCCATGAGATATTGTGTTGATCGTTTCACATCATAGAACAGCTCATAAACTCGACGTATATCTTCCATTTCCACAGATTTCCCCTTACGCTTTTGACAAGCAAGTGCAGCAGTAGCAATCAGGTGAATGGCATACCTCAATGAGGTATCAACCCCAATCTTTGTTAACAATACCTTTGCATCTTCAGACATGTCCACATCTTCTTCTTGGGTTCTGATATCCAGAATCTTGCGGATTTCTTCTTCTGTGTAAGGTTGTGTAGAGATGATAAGCAAGCGGTCAAGGAAATCGATTGGAATTCCATGAGGAGATCTGTAGTTTGTGCCTCTTATCGTAGTAATCCCTCTATTGGTGGCGACAACCAATACAGGTGCCCTGTCATTTTCCAAAGCACGGTTCAGGAATGAAAAGCATTCAATGTCGAGCATGTGGACTTCATCTATAAAGAGAACACCAGGGACAATCTCTGCCTTTCCTTCTTCCCTCCACTCTGCAACTTTTGTATCTATCTGTTCCCTCACTTCTGCATGAATCTCACCGGTATCTCCAGTGAAAAGAGCAAGAAACCCCTGTGTTCTACAATCGAGAGAGAAACAATTTTAAAGGTAAAATGCCTTGTATCTACAAAAGATACAAAAGATTACTTGTTTCTAAGCAACTATATTGACGTGTGGAGTTGCAAATAAATTGAAATCCATAACTAAAGGTTTAAATAGTAGCATATTGCAAGTCAAATATGAACAGTACAAAAAATGAAGTATTCTTTTGTGAAATGAAGATAAAAGAATACCGAGTATTTCGACTATTGAGGTCTTCAACTTGAAATTGATGAGTCGTCCTTAATAATATGAAATAATTCTTTTATGTAATCTTTCATTAGATGAAATTGCCTAAATATTAGAGAAACCAAGACCACAAATATCCTAACAGAGGAAACATAGTTTTAGTGATAACATACAATTCAAGAAAGGCCATACAGCCTAAGATAATTCAACAAGTATAATTCTCTAGCTGAACGTCTGGGAAGTATCACAAAGAGTTTGTTTGGAACTCGAAAAATGCAAGGAATACACACACACACAGGGAGGGAAAAAAGGAGAATTTTGTAAAGAAAATGTTGTGATGGAAAATAAACTGGGGTTCAAATTCCATAAATCAGTACTAGATACGAAGTATTTGTTTAAACTCATGGTAGTTATACGTTTGAACAAAACTAAAATTTCAAATCAAAACGATGTCCATATGTTTTTTCTGCAAGATATCTGACATCACCACGCATAAAAAAGACACTTCTATTAGCGTTGTTCTTTCACTACACCATTTACAAGTTCCAATCACAGGCCTTAAGAACAAACATTTGGTTAATCAAATAAGACTTCAAGACTTAAGATCCTGTTTGGTAGGTTAATTGGTCGAAATGGTTGATTTCTTTGATTTTTCAGAAAGTGAAAACAATTGGTAAGATCCCTGGAATGGTAGGTTCATAATCAGAGTGTGCCAGGCCAGATAAGGCTACCAAGCGGAGCCTAACTCACAGTATCTGTTATGAATGGAATTGTACCTGCTATTAATGACATCAATCTCATGGAGTGTAACACAATGCACCACCTCCTTCCTCTTTTGCAGTTCTCCATCCGGGCACTGCACGAATTTGGTTTGTGGACCCATGGCATCATAGTCTCTGGACCTGGAAAAAGACCTCCCGAGTTTTGTAATCTTCCCAGATGCCTTGTCAATGGCAATAACATCCCCACTCTGTATCTTATCCTTCCCCAGAGCCTCAATCATCTTCACACCCAAATCATACACTGTCTCCATGTCAGTAGTCTTAAGTGTGAGCTTCCCAGTCTTAGAAGCAGCCCCAGCCACAGCCGGACGATCAATTTGAAGTTCAACAACCTCTCCTTCAATTACCTCTGCCTCCTCTTTAATTCTAACTCCAATTGCTTTCCTAAACGCTTGCATCAAAGCTTCGGTCTTTGACATTTCGAGGGAGAAGAGTTCGCTTCCAGCGAGCATGGCGAAAGGGGTTTCCTGGCCCAACGACTTAGCCATGCCCATAGCAATGGCCGTCTTGCCCGTTCCTGGATGTCCGGCTAGGAGGACAGCTCGACCCGCGATTGTCCCTTCCCGGACCATCTTCACGATGAGACCGGCGGCTTTACGGGCAGAGGTCTGACCCACCATGCCTTCAGAAGCTGCCCGAGGCTCGAGCTCGGAATCAAGGCCGAGGCCCCTTATATGGGAGTGAGCGCCAATGCGCTCTATTCTGGTTAGGTCTCGCATCTCCGATATTTTCACTTCCGCCATGGTTGCCTGTGATGGTGGTGCTAGCGATGAAGGGTTTAGGGTTTCAGTGGTTGACTAGAGGCTGGCGATTTTCAGTTCAACAATTTGCGGGGAATGGGTAAATAAATGGACCGAACGGGAGCTATATATACATGAGGCAGCTAGGGTTAAGTCTATGAAATGGATCGATACATCTGAGCTAATGATCAATGGACATTCACAATTACATAACATAAACACCCCTATGAATGTACATTACAAAAAAAAAGTTACATAGAGAAATATACATTACTTTGTTTATACAATTTGGTAATATTGTCTCATTAAAAACCCTGCCGAGAAAAACAATGGGAAAAAATCTTGGTCAAGGGAAAAAGAGTGCAGCGCGTATATGCTCCCCTGTTGATTGCATCACTTCAGGCCACCTTGTTGAATCCAATTCAATCCAATCTGGTTGCTAATTAACTTTTCGAATGAATTATCGTACTATGTGTATGCCTCGTTAAAAACCTTGCTGGCAAAACTCTTAGGAAAAAACCAATCAAGGAAAAGAGTACATAATATATGTAAAATGATGTGTTGTATTGACTGCCTCATTAAAACCTTTAACTAAAAAAATCATGCGGGAAAAACTTAGTAAAGGAAAAGAGTACATTCATTGTCCTTCGGGGCCTAATCTTCTGAATTGCATTTGAATTTACTCTTCTAGAGAAAAATAATACTCCGAATTTTATCTATCATAATATGTTATTTCAAAGTCACAAACTACCTTGTTAAAACCTTTGACCAAAACCTTTGACTATAATAAAGGGACCGAACCTATAAGGCTCCTTTTAGTCCCTTTTACTACGTTCGATAAATTACTTCTAAAGATTAGATTTAGTAGTTAAAAAAGAAATGTAAAATAACGATAAAAAATGTAAAATATACCACTACTTTACTAATAAAATAAAGTTTATATGAAAAGGTATGGATAGATCATTTTTTTTTTTGGTGATATGGATAGATCAAATTTAAAAAATTCAATCGCAACAATAACGTTATCGTTACACTAATTTTGATTATCACAAAATCAACACATGAAAAACAAAAAAAAATGTTCAATAAAAACATGAATATTAAGTTTGATAAGTCAAAAAATGAGTTATTGAAAGAGAATAAAAATTGTTGCCAAGAAGAGAATAAAAATTGAACCCTTTACTCGTTATGTCAATATAACTTTATCAAACTGGATCACAACTTGACATAAGAAATAAAGTAAATGGCAAATGTTTTAATTAGCACAATAAAAAAAGTTGATAATATGCTGAGAAGGGATGAATAATGTATAAACACCCTACATCTTTTACGTACAATTCGTATATGTAAAATTAGTTCACGAGCAAACCGTATACACATTTATTCTAATTTGCTCACAATGTAACTCGCCTTTGAAACCATTCATCTCTACTAGATTTTTCATACAAACATATTTATTCTAATTTGTATACTAGTAGAGTATATATATGTGAAGGTATGGACATAAAACATACGACATGTGTACATAAAGTTTATGTTGAATGTAATAAATTATTATTTGGATGAGGTTATTTCAAAATCTTGTTAAATCAAATTTTAACTTACATATAATGAAAATTCAAAATTTTATTTCAAAGTTCTTCAAAGTCTCTGGTTATTAGGCGTTCTCCAAAATAAATATGATTGCTTTTGATGTAGAAGAATTTGGGTCTTTTCTTCTAGGAAGTCGACTTTGGTGATGACAACAGTTTGTTTTTCAAGGCAAACCATGGTGAGAATTCATTGACATACAATACTTTACGGGAGTACTCTTTGGCATGGGGAAGGAAATAATTTTTTGTAGTCAATTATATCTTTTAGTGTGAATCTAAGTTATGGAACATCAAAGTTGGGATTGTTGAGATGCTTTTTGTGAGGACAACTGATAATAGTACTATTCATTTCTGTTGCCATTAGAATGAAGCAGAAAGTGAATATTTATTTCTTATATTTAGGACAATATTTATATGCTGGTTCAAAAATGGAATAATAAATTCATTTCTAAAGTGGGAAGAGATGTAATTCTAATTAAAGAGGGTGATTGAAGTGGTGCTTCCTAGGCGAGTATAATGCTCCTTTTGTCCCAAGAGTTCTTTTGGGTATTTTGAGATTGGTTAATGGCTTTTGGTGAGAAGGGGGTTACAATTGGAGGATCCATTGGAAGGAGTGGTGTCTATAATGCATGTCAAAGATCCGTGACTTGAAAGTTGGGGACATTCCAAACTCACCATTTCTTAATTCAAAGTTGGGGAATAATCCCTCCGTTAGTGCTGGACTCGGGCCGGGCGGCCCGGCCCGGAACCGGCCCGGCCCGGTTACTGTTTGGCCCGGCCCGGCCCGGGGCCCGGTGGGTCCATAGGAGAACAAAAAAAAAAATTAATTGGGTCGGTTCGGCCCGGCCCGGCCCGGCCCGGTTTGGCCCGGAACCGGGACCGGAACCGGCCACCGGCGGTTCGGGCTCGGGCCTCCCTTTCCTGGCCCGAGGCCCGGCCGGGCCCAGGCCCGAACCGGGCCCGAACTGGCCCGAGTCCAGCACTACCCTCCGTTATATTCTTGAAGATAAAAAAATCGGGCTTGATATTTAATATTCTCTTAAATAGACGAGAGGTGTTTGACCCAATTGTGTGAAAGCAAGATCCATAAGGAAAGTTTACTGATAAGATTGCCTATTGCTTGCTTGCTCGTTTGGATGGTGATAGATATGATGTTTTTGTTGTAAATTCCTGAGAATGACAAGTGTGAATTGTTCATCCTTGTCACCAGGACACTAATCCAATTCAAGGCCTTGTAATAGACAGATGGCTAGGTTTAATTCTACCAGCAAAATATGTAGAATTGTTCTTTGATGATTCATCACCAAGCCCAGCTAGTATAAATAGGGCTTGATCAATCCTTTGTAATTCAATTCAGATACTCAGAAATTTCAGATATAGAGAAGAAGTAATTTAGAGGTTTTTATCTATATATCTATCTCTTTATTTGGTCTTCATCTTCTTCATTACACAACACGTTATCAGCACGAATCTGCTCAAAACTCTTCAAGAATTCATCATCTCCTGCAGGTATTAACATTAATATAGATAACATATCTCTTAACAATTTGATTTCTTTAATCAATTTTAATAAAGCTCTTAAAGGAGAAGAGGAAATTGTATAACTACATACGTACCTTTAAGAGTATATATCACCCTATCTTCAATTTGGATACTCTCTAATATTACTGATCAGTACGTAAATAATACGGAAGAAAGTAGACTCATACTCCGTATATAAAGAGATGAAATAAAACTATAAAAGTACTAGAGTCATGACTTGGTTATTCTCAGAAGAAAGAAAGAATAATACGGATAAATAATAGAGTTACAATACTAGGCTATTTCCCATGAATAGTGATTATAGAATGGGAGCAAACAAGAAACAAATTATGGAGTAGTTCAAATATATAATAGATGGAATATGCGAAGTATAAAATAGTCACGGAGTAACTTTGATTTGAAAATCGAAACGGTGCACAGAACTTCTGAGTATGATCAGAACATCAAATAAAAAATTGTATTTCTTTTGTTTTCTTCAGTCACAAAAAACTGATAAAGTTTTGTTGGTATCCTCATGCAATAGTCACGAGATCTGAACATGAACAAGTATTCTTTATTCAATATTATGTTTATGCTGAAAGTTCGGTTAGAATGTTTAAATTAATAAACAAAATAACTAAGTGACAGGTTTTCAATTAATATTCTGTGCACATAATATACCGAGTATAATATTTGACAACCATAATGAGTAATACGTGTACTTTATGAATACATGCACGTACATGTGTCATGATATCGATCACTTATAATTTGCTAGTCAAATTTTACTTGCTTAATTGACTAGAGTCCAAAGAGTCACGGTTCTTATTTACTGAGTATATCAATACGTGCCTAATGTACGTACTACCATATGTCCAAAATAGGACTGCACATAGGTTGTCCACTTAGTCAATTCCATATGTGTAAAATGTAAGAAAACAGAATTAAATGGAATTAGTATATTTCGTGTATTACTGGACTAGTTAGTACATATATGTCAATACTTAACAAAATTTATTTACTTTACGTTTATTACTATTATGCATGCTTTATATATTCATATATACTTAAATAAAATAATTATTGCATGTTAGTAATAATTTACGTCAATAAACTTTGTAGTATTATTATGACAAATATTAGCAGAAGAGAATTCAATGTTTCTGATCTGTCCGGGCAAAATTATTTGGAATGGAATGTGGAAGACCAGCAACAAAGGGTCCTTTTACCTAAAGCTCAGTATGACTGGATCAATCTAAGATTCCGGGACTTTAAATCTATCAGTGACTATAACTCTGCTATGTCCCATGTCCCATATAACATCCAAACTAAAGTTATGTGGACAAAAAGTCACTGACACTGATATGTTAGAGAAAACCTTTTCCACTATGCATGTTTCTAATATGTTGCTCCAACTGCAATATAGAGAAAAGGGTTTTATAAAATACTCTGACCTAATATCAGTATTACTGATAGCTGAGCAAAATAATGACCTTTTGATGAAGAACCACAATTTGTGATCCATCGGTTATAGTTCTTCTGTTTATGGTCCATCTGACCATAATTTAGTCACTGAATCAAATGCAACACCCAGTGACATTGGAAGACATTATTTTAATGGATGATGCCATTATGGACGACGCTTTTGCCATAGATCAAAATGTTACAAAAATTAAATTTTAGATCCCATATGTTGTAAAATACTAGTTTTATGTACTTTTCTTTATTTCTCTTTATATGAATAAGAGTGTAATATATGTACTTTTATGTTATATATGATGCATAATTTGTACTACTTGCATACCAAACTTATGCTTATTCATATATATTGAAGATATGGATTACTCAAGTGATAAAGAACTATGTCTGATAGACAGCGCCACAACGCACACCATTTTGAGGAATAAAATCTATTTTTCTCAAATGACTTTAGTTGAAGCTAAAGTCAATACAATATCAGGTGTTGCGAAGCTCATTGAAGGCTCTGGGAAAGCATATGTGATGCTCCCTAACGGGACAAAAATAATTATAAATGACGCTTTAT